TAGTGAGTAGTGCGTAGTGAGTTGGGAGTAGTGAGTAGTGAGTAGTGAGCAGTGGGTACTGGGTAGTGAGTAGGGGTAGTAGTAGAGCAGTGATTGGTGAGTTGTGGGTACTGAGTAGTGAATAGTGAGTACTGGGTACTGTTTGGGGTTCGGTTTAGGGTTTGGGGTTAGGGTTTCGGGTGGTCGGGGTGGTAGTGTTAGGGGTGGTAGGGGTCGGGTTCCGGAGCCAGGGGGTGCCGTGGCGAAAGGGGGGGAGGGTCGAATTTGGCGGCCAAAGGGGGGCGGGGGGGTTCGGACCCCCCCCTCCCCTCCCTTTTGAAACGGGGGGGGTTCCCGACGACGGACCGGGAAAGGGGGGGAGGTGGGGGTCCCCGACGACGGATCGGGGAAAGGAGGAGGGGTGGGTTGGGAACATCCAGCGGCGCGCCCTCCTCGATTGTCGTGGGCATTGTGGTCGCAGCGCGTCCACATCTGAAGACCCTCGAGATCCATCTTTTGCTGTTCGGGCATGTCTCAGTCCTTCGTCGTCTGGTACTGGTTGCTCCTCGGCCTCAGGTTCCGCTGGGGCGAGCTGAAGTTCGTCATCGCGTCGTGCGTCCATGTCCGACCTGATCGTCATCAGCGCCGGCTTGACATTCGAGCGTGCCCTGAACACTGCCTCGTTCCCCGTCGTCGGTGATCCAGTGGGGGACCTCAGCCAGCACGCGGGAACACCAGCGTCGAGTAGTGGCCGCCCTCGGTCGCGCTCGGGCGCGTCGGGCCTATCCCCAACTTGGCGTGCGAGAGCAAGTCCTCCTCAAAGTCGATGTCGGCGCCCATGGTCCTCAGTGCGCCCTTGCCGATGAGCAACTGTAGCGTCAAGCCCACGAGCACCAAGAACGTCAGGTAGGCGTCGACGTTGAAGACGGTGAGTGGGACCATCCACTTCTCCAGGGACACCCGCTTGTCGTCGTTACCGAACCGGGAGACCGCGAACTGTTCTTCCTTTTTGATGTACTTAGCGATCCCCAGCTCCTTGCATCGATCTTTGATCTTTATCGCGTACGCCTCGCCGGAAGCTGAGCTGCTGCAGGCTGAGTCCAGCGTCTCGTCTTCTCCTTGACTTCCGATGGAGACTGACGACAGCAGAACCTCCTGCGGCGGCTCGGCTGAACTCACGCGCGTGCCAGCTTCCTCGGTCGTGGCCTCGGTGACCAGGGCCTCGAACACGTCTGTCCTCAGAGCGTCGTTTCCCTCCTGCGTGTCTAGGAGATCGACCAGGTACACGTCCTTTGGCTTGATGCGCTGCTTCAGCTTCTTCTTACCCTGCTCGGCCTTCTGGTCCTTCAGCTTCGGGCAGCATGCGTCTCCAGACCAGTCGCCGGTCTGTCCACAGGCGTGGCAGTGCGTCTTCGCCTTGTCGTTCACGTTACCCTTGCCGCCTGAACCTGGAAACTTCTTTCCACTGCTGGAGCTTGAGCTGCCTGCGCCGTTCTTGCCAAACCTACGATCCTTGGGTTTTTCCTTCGCTCGTTTCTTGCTCTCACGCACCGTCATGAGACCTTCCATCATGGATTCAACTCCGGTCTCTGGTTTGCCGAGTTCTTTTGCCAGCTCGGGGTCGTTCTTTGTCTCCTCTAAGCTTGTCGACAGCGCCTGCATCTCGGTCGTCAGGGCCTCCTCGCATTCCTCCTCGCAGTCGCCGTCGTAGCTGTCGAGCTCTGCTGCTAGAGCCTCGAGCTCGCCCTCATCGAACTGGCTAATGCCGCTGGGGTCCTCGGTCACGTTCGCTTCCTTGAACTTGCGCATGACCTGTCTCTTCAGCAAGACCTTCCCCTGCATCCTGTAATTGTTCGTCCGATTGTGCTCGTGCATGGGGTGGCGTCTCTCCGTCGTGTGTAGATTGGGAATCACTCGCAACATCGTGGGCACCACTTCTTTCAACTCCATGCTTCTGCTGGTGGAGGTCAACAGCATACTCTTTTGTGCGTCCGTCAGGCCCGTCCTTTCTTTCAGCCACCAGCCCGCGGTTGTCGGCGATAATGCCACGTTCTCCTCGTCTATCTGATTACGAGCCTCACCGAACCCGATCATCCACGCATTCAAGTCCTCTCCTGCACGGCGGTGGAGCTGCTTACAGGAGTAGTTACCTCACCCGCCCGCGCCTCGTAGGTTCGCCCACGCCCACGGTCGGGAGCACCTCCGTCAGCGGGTTGACGCCAGCCATAGGTGAAGGGGACCTGGGACACACAAATAGAACATTCCCAATATTTTCCAATATTTTCTGGGTTTCTGTCTTCCCCCCCACTGCCCATATTTCTTACATTTTCTGGGGAATCGACAATTCATTGTGTCTGTGTTCTTTTCCCTCCTGAATAGGGTCGGGCTCCTCCCAGCGGCGTGGCTCCTCGCAGTCATCCTCGTTCTGGATCTCGGCGCTTCCTGCCTCACGAGGATCCAACACCCACGTCCAAGGTTTTGCGCGCGGGACGGACTCGCCCAACGTCTTCGCCGCGCCCGTCAGGCACCTCACCTCGCGTGCCGCCCAGCTCCACGAGACGTCCAGATTGATTCCTTCGATCCGCAGGGCCACATCTGTCGCGTATCGCCGCCCCTTCGACGCCGAGCCGTCGCAGCTCGGTATGCCCTCGAGGTCCCTGCTGAGCCGGGCGCCGCCTGCGAGCCCCCGCGTGCTCGTTGCTCGCCGCCACCACTCGCCGCCGCTGCCTGCAGAGAGGCGCCTCCTCGTGGTGGCCGCGCGCCTGGGCCGGGGATGCCGCCGCCCGTGGCCGGCCTCCCGCCCCCGGTACGGTGCTCGGGCCCTCGGCGGGCGAGTCGTCGCTCACGTCCCCGCACTCCGCGACCACGCCCCGGCAGCTGCCGCCGCCCGACACCGCCGTCGCACTCCGCGTCTCGACGCAGGAGGGGCAAAGAGACACACAGAGACACAATGGATCGTCGATTCCCCAGGAGACGTGGGGAAATGTGTGGGAAGGGGGGGGGGGAAGACAAGAGCCCAGAAACTGTGGGGAAATATGGGCAATCTTTTTTGTTGTGTGTGTGTGTGTGTTTATTTGTGTGTCCCAGGGCCCCTTCCACTCGGGGCCGCTGCGTCGATCCGCTGCCGTGTTTCGCGCCCGCGGCGCTCCGCCGCCTCTCGCGGAGCCGGGGGGCCTCCGGGGCCCGAGGCGCCCGGCTCCGCCCGCGGGGGCCGGCGGCGGATGCCGTCGGGTTGTCGAGCGGGAGGCACACTGTTGCTCTCCCAGCGTCCACGCCAGGGGCCACGAAGTGTCGAGCTGGCTGGATCCCAGCCAGCAGTGGCGAGCGTGCGAGAGGGAGAGAGAGAGAGAGAGGAAGCGAGGGGGGAGAGAGGGAGTGACGAGATTTCAAGGGGGAGCGGGGGAGGAATCCGATGAGAGCCGCATTCTTACGACAAAGGGCCTTCGGCCATCTTGAGGTGTCCTCGCAGTCCATCCACCTGTTTTGACTCCTTCAGGCTATCTTGGGCCACCTTGGGGCCACCATGGCACCATCTTGGGGCGTCTTGGGTTCATGTCTGGGCTACCTTAACTGTTCCGGTTGGCCCGTGCTGTTGAACCGCTTGTGGACCCCCTTTGGGCCCCCTCGGGGTCATCCAGAAGGCCCTCTTGGGGAGTCGTCTCGGGACCCTCTCAGGAATCTCCCTGCTGGGGCCACCTCGGGGCCCGAGAAGATTGTTTGGGACGCTGCTGCAAGAAGGCAAACAACAGCAACAGCAAGTTTTCTCTGTATGTGTGTGTGTGTGGGTTCCTTGGATATTGCTATCTTGGGAGCCTCTGCCAGAAGGATCTTCGGTCCATTTTGGCCGTTCTGGCGGTTCCCGAATCGCTCTTTCTGGTCCCGTGCCAGCCCAGGTGACGTAACGAGCGAGGTACGAATGACGACGTTCTGGCAGGGTGAAACCTTTCGGGAGGGGTTCCAGGAGAGGGGCGGCAAGGGGGGAGATAGGCGCAACGCGCCCGCCCGTCCCCAAGACGGCCCAAGAGGCGCCCAAGACGGCCGAAGATACCCCCAAGACAGCCCAAGAGAGGTCCCTGAGCTTTCCAAGACGGCCGAAGAGCGTTCCAAGAGAGCCCAAGGCCGCCCAAGATCGTTTCAAGATTGCTTGAGAAGGCCTGCGGATGGTTCAAGAAGGCCCCAAGACAGCCCGAGAGGGCTCCAAGAGGCCCAAGAGGCCCTCACGAGGAACCCCAAGAGGGCATCAGGAGGCCAAACACATACATCTAGGTTTCTTTTGGCTTTTGATGGTTTTGAAGGTTGTCGCCTTTTCGGGCTCCCGACGGCCCAAGACGGCCCAAGATGCCCAACAAATCGGCCCACGACGGCTTATGAGGCCCCCTAGAGGGCCCCGAGACGACCCAAGAGAGCTCCAAGACGGCCTCGAAGAAAACCCAAATAGGGGCCCAGAGGGGCCCAAGAGGCTCCCAAGAGAGCCCCAAACGGCCATGGGAGTCCTCCAAGAGGGCCCAAGACGGCCTCAGAACGAGAACGGCCCAAGAGGGTCCTGAGACGCCCAGAAGGGCCGTACAGGAGCCCCACCCCAGTGACGGACGCAGCTTCGATGCCAAGGTTTCCAAGAGCACGAGGTGACTGGAGCGCCCTTTTCGCACGAGTCGGTGACGCAACAAGCTCTGAACGCCAGGGCTCCCAAAAGCGAGCAGTGGCACAGAAAGCTCAAAACGCCGAGGCTCCCAAGAGCGAGCGGTGACGTAAACAGCTCTGAACGCAAGGGCTCCCAAGAACGAATGGTGACGTAAACAGCTATTAACTCCAAGGCTCACAAGAGCGAGCGGTAACGTACACGACTCTCTCTTCACACCAAGGCTCTCAAGAGCCAACGATGACGTAAAAACCTCTGAACGTCAAATTCTCCAAATTCGAACGGTGACGTGAATAAGTTCTCAACGCCAAGGCTCCCAGGATCGAACGGTGCCTTGATCCCTCTCGGGCAATTTCTTGAATGGCTCTTTTCGCTCCCGTGCCGGCCCAGGTCTAACATCTATCACGCCGTTGGCCCGACGGGCCGGCGAGTTTCCAGCAATACGTACAGTGCGACTTGGGGCGTTGTACCAATCCCACAGCCTACTGTGATCCACGCGCTGCCTGAAACTGTGGGCTTGTCTTGTCTTGTAGTCGCTGGGGGGTTGGCTGGACACGATAGTGCTGCGCTCCGCGACGTGCCCGATGCTCGCACCGGTGCCCCGCAGCGTGGTTCGGGACCTGGGGAGCGGCCAGCGATGGCGCATGCTCTGACCGGACCCGCGCGCAGTCTTGTGTCGCTGGACCGACATCTGCATAGAGCGCCACTCCGAGTGGGTGCCGCGGTGTCCGCCCCGAGCTGCCCAGCAGGCAATCGCCACAGCAGCAACGTCGGCGGTTTATGCTCGTACAGCAGCGGCGGCAGCAGCAGCAGCCGAAGCCACAGTACCAGCCGCCACTTCGCCAGTTCTGGGGGCAGCCCATTTCCGGCAAGCGCTGCTTATGCAGGACGGCCAGGGGAAAACTACAATGTACCCACGCGAATGTGGCAACGTCGGAGTAAGTGTAGGAGGAGAAATTATGGCATAAACATACACTTTCGGAGCTCCGCGCGGAGTTGTGGGATCTGAGAGGGGGGGAGGAGGGAGGAGGGAGGAGGGAGGAGGGGGGAGGAGGGGGGAGGAGCAGGGCTGAGCAGGGAGGAAGGAGGAGGAGGCAGGAGGGAGGAGGAGGAGGAGGAAGAGGAGAAGGAGGAGGTAGAGGAGGAGGAAGAGGTTGTGGTGGGGAACCACGACCGCCGCCCGAGGATCGGCGGCCAGCCAGAGCCACACTTTCGTCGTGCGCGTTCGGCCTGGCCTGGAAGGCCTGCTTCGGCGGGAGCTGGCCGCCGTGCCCGGAGTAGGCGGAGCGCGCGGGGGAAACTCGGGTGCGCCGTGGCCCCCTCTTTTTTTTCCCTCCTCCCTCATCCCTCTTCCAATATCCCTTCTTTCCTCCCTCCTCCCTCCCTCCCTCCTCCCTCCTTCCTTCCCCCCTCCCTCCCGTCCGCTCTTCTTCATTGCTCCCTCCTCCTCCTCCTCCTCCTCCTCCTCCTCCTTCTCCTCTCCGTCGTCGTCGTCCTCCTCCTCCTCCCACTCGAACGGTAGGTCTCCCATTGACCCCTTCTTTCTGCTTGCCTGGCCTCTCTTACCCGTTTCCGCTGCTTCCCTGTGCCCGAAGCATCTGTCCCACTAAGTGGGATATCAGTTGTTGGGCATTTCGTCGCCATGTTTGGCTTGTTGGCAAGAAGTCCGGCAGCACCACGTGCCCGTGTTATTCGCTTTCAACCTCCCTGCGTTTAACCAGAAAATGGCTCCCATATCAGACTTTCCGTTTTTATAGTTGGTAGCGGAGTTTCTGTTCCCTTCCACCACATACATGCTTCCCGCCGCCGTGTCCCGCTTGGTATCACAGCTAATGTTTTGCTCGCCCACCTTTACTTCCGTCTTTATGCATGATCTTCGCGTGCGTTAAGACGTACACTCTGGACGACTGCTTGTGCAAACGCGACGCCATCATCTACAAGGATCGTGGCGCCCACCCGCCGCCGCCGCACCCTGCTATTCTCCGGGGGCGTATTCTAACTGTGTTGGAGTCGTTCTCGGGGCCATCGGACCTGTCGCTGTGAATAACAGCCAGTTTTCATCAACAGCGTCGGCCCGTGGTTTTGAACGTTCCGCAACTGTGTTGCGAGCGCCCTGAAGCCGCAATCGGATAAAAACGATGAGAAGAGTGAGAACACAGTGTAGTGTTGGACGATCTTGCTGTCATGCCGCCAAATAGCAGTGCAGCAGGCCTGGGATTACCTGTCCATGTTCTCTTGGCAGTCGACAGACAGCGCAGCTTCTCGCTGGTTCTCTGCCGGCTGGCAGGGCGAGATCCCGTTGCGCACTCCTCTGGGCTACCGTGACGTGGGCGGTCCCCGGTGTAGTGATGACACGACGCACGTGGGACACGAGCGCAATTAGTTGCGAAGTGTCCAGAGTGCGAAGAAGATAGCCGTGACGACGCGGTAGAAGGCAATGCCCAATGCGCTGACGAAGGGGAGCACCCGCGTGGCAGGGGCCCACGACGGCTCCGAGGCTCTTGGTCAGAGCGCGGCCGTCGGTGGCCCCCTGGCCTCCAATGCCTCCTTGATCGATGGGGGACATCCGCTCCGGATGCATGGCCGCGCGCTCGTCCTGGCAAGCTGCCTCACCTGCGCGGACGCAGGAGGCGGCAACGGCAGCATGCGTCAGTTCCGCGCCTGGGGGCCCGAGCAGCAATCGCGGGTTCCCTTCCACGGTTGGGTGAGGGAGGTGATGATTTGGCCAGTGGCGATCTCCGACCTCGACGAGTTTCGCCAGGCGGTCTACTGTTCGTCGCGACTCACTGGCGCTGCCCGAGAGTAAGTAGACGCATGGCCGACAGTTGTCCTCATCCAGGGAGGCGCCATCAACGGCGACCCAGTGCCGCCCATGATTCTCCCGATGACAGTTTGGCCGAAGGTTGGGGGGAGGGGGGGCGGGTCTCGGCAGTCTCGGCGCTCGTGAACTTCCACCGACTGCCGCAGGATCGCATCGATGACCTCCTCGCGCCTTCTGACATCTTCCGCGACCGCGCTCAAAAAGCTGGTCAACTCATGGCCGTTTACGAGGGCCTCAGCTTCCTCCTTCTTCGCGTGGTTGGGGTGGCAAGCGTTGCACGCATCGTGATTTTGCAGCGCCATAACATGGCCTACCCGACCAGCGCAGCACAATGCGGACATGTGACGCGCCAGCTGATACGCCTTGGGATTGAGATTGAGGGGTCGCCCGGCAATCGCGCCTCAGCGGTGCATTCAGCCCGACGGCAAACTTTCCTGTCGGGTACGCCCGCGCAAGATAGGGCCCATAGTGCCTCTGGCGCTGCGGCCGGATCGAGCTGGGGCGGCCTGGGTCTATCAGCGCTGGGGGCGGCGCCGAGCCCACCTGCGCCAGCGCTACCAGCGCAGGAGGCGCTCCCGGCAGCTGCCGTCGACACAGGCACCGACGCCGACGCCGTCGGCTCGTTCTGCGACGGAGAGATAGCCGCCGACGATCCCGAACTACGCGATGATCCCGTGGAGCAGCGTGGCGCGCGCCTATCGTGGGCTTGCAAGCGCACCGAGGTACCATTGCGACGCTTCAAGAACAGCGCGCCCGCGCGCCGCGTCCGGAGGGTCGGGGGGGCGGGCAAGTGCCGCGGCAAGGTTTGCAGTGCCTTCCTGGCCAACATATCCGAGAGTGACCTCGGGGAGACGTTCGCGAGTGAAAGGCAATGGAAAGGGGGAGGAGAGAGTCTGGGCCAGCGGGGTGAGTTCGGGCCGTCAGGGCATCCCCGTGGGCCCCGACTGGGTGCGAGTCACATGCCGCGAGTGTAGCTCAGAAGAGCACTTTGTGCACAACCGCTCCTGGCGCCGTGGCCGTGGGCGCGCTCTCTCGACGCCTGCGCCCCAGAACCGCTGATGTCCGCGCCGTTGTCATCTCTGGGGCAGCAAGGGCCGCCGAGCCTAGCTGAGCGGCAACCCCTGACGAGCGCGCGTTCGTTTTGGATGGGCAGGGGCTCCGCCAGCAGTGGGCAGACTGCGTCTGCGCGCTCGGGCGCGAGGGGCCCCGTGCAGGGCGTTGATCCCTGGGGCGGCGGGCGGCCCGCGCCAGCCGCAGCGGCGCCGCGGCCGGCAGCGGCAGCGGCCGCTCCGCCAAGTTCGTCGTCCGACGGTGCCTGGCGACAGCTTGACCGCGGTCATTGGCCGCGATGGGCGGGCGCGCCATCTTCGCCGGCGTCGCCTTGCCCCGACGACGCCGAATTGCAGCGTTTGCGACGGGAGATGCGCGATCTCATGGGCTGCGCACAAGCGTGGGCCCAGCCGGTGGGCAGCGCAACTGTCTGGCAAGCCCGCCCAGCTGCAGCGGGGGGCCCGGCGCCGGCCGCGCCGGCCGCGCCGACGGCTCCAGCGTCGTCGCCAGCGCTGCTGTTATGGGCGCGAGTCGTCGGCGCTTTCCCTCTGGGGCAGGACCAGGGGCCCGACTGGCTGGGCGGCCTCCGCGCCCAGGCCGCAGCCGCCGCGCCGCCAGCTGCCGACGTGTAACTGCCGAGTCGGGCCTGCGTGCCATCAGTGGCCTCGCTTGGCATCGGCGCCCCGTGCGGATCAAGCTCCACCTGGCCGCCGCAATCGGCGCCGGCCTCCGCGCTGCCGCCGGTGCCGGACACTTCCGTTGGATTGGGCCTGTTGTACGTGGACAGGCCAGTTGGTGTGAGCCTGCCGCTGGGGAGAGTGGCCATGTGGTTTGCTGTCCGCGAGACGTGGATGTCCAGCGGAAATCGGTCCGAGCACAGCGCGCAGTCCATTCTCGACCGCGCCCGACGACGACGCCCCGACGAGCTCCACGTCGCACAGCTGGCACTGGGGCCACTACGACAGCAGGCAGACCAGCAGCGCCAAGCTGCGTGGAGTTGGGCAGAGACAGTGACTGACGCTCCTCCAGTGCCGGCTGCAGCGCCACTAGCACCTCCCACAGTTGCTGGCCACCACGATGACGATAGGGAAGCCCCATCTAGGCCTTCGTCCACGCCGAGTGGGTCGGGCGAGTACGGTGCTGGCGCATTCTGCACCGCGCATGCAGCCTGCAGCTCATGCAGAACACCGGCTCCAGCTTGGTTTGCTGCCTGGCGTGCCGCGGCCCAACTGACATCATCGCTGACTGCCTCTTCGTTGGTGCAGATCGTGTGCGCGCGGTTCCGATGACTGTGTGGCCGGCCCGTGATGCTGCAGCAGGAGATGCCGCGTGGGGGGCTGCCTCAGCAGGACGCGGCACCTCTATCTCGGCAAGCTCCAGCGCCCTGGACACCGCGGCGAGATCTTTTGAGATCCCCTGGGCGTGCTCCCAATTTTTCGTCTGCGGTGTATGTGCTTCTGCCCTGCTGCGCGCGCATGGACTCGCGCGCGCCCCCATGCAATCCGAGTTCGCTTGGGCATGCGCTTCCGTGGTGGCCGACTTTGTCGGGTGCAGGCGCGAGCTCCCAGGGCGATTCGCCGTGCGACCTTGCAAGCGCATTTCTTTCAGGCGCCCGCGTGGCCGTCGTCGTTGACGCCGGCGCCTGGGCCGACCTCTGGGGCGCGCGATTCGCCCGGAACTTGGCATGGCGAGCCATGCAGGCGAAGAACCAGCCCTGGGAAGAGAGGTGTCTGGTCACTATGGCAGGGGCGGGAAACGGGTCGCAAGTGGCGAGCTGGGAGATCCACTGCGTCGTCGCCACAAGATCACGCGACGGTGTGACCCCACTCGGCACAGCATGGGCGCCATGGCCGTGGAGGGCGCAGGCGACGCCCTCCTTGCACTTATTTGGCCTGCAAATCCATGCAGGCTAACAGCGCGGTGGTGGAGACAGGCGTTAGCTGCGAACGCTTCACCTTTCCCGTGCCAGGCGTCTACTTTATGACCTGGGGCCCAGGGCCGGTCCACTTCGACTTGGAGTCCGCTGTGAGTGGGCACCTGGCCTTCCAGTTGACGACTGCAGCAAACTACAGCCACCATTCGGGGGCCTGCCGCCTGAGCAGCCCACGCTGCTGGCGGCGGGCAGCGACAGCCCGGGCCACCGCGACGCCGGACGAGAGTTCAATGAGCCCGACGTCCAACTTCTCAGTCCGATGCGAGAGCCCCTGCGCGGAGCACCACTGGCTCTGCGGGCTACGACCTGTGTGCCAGCTCCGACGCCAGGACTCCGACCTGTGGTCGGGAGCTGGTACTTGCCGGCATCGCTGCGCTGGCGCCGCCTGGCACTTGCATGCGTATTGCCTTGCGCTCAGGTCTCGCGCTCGGGCATCGGCAGCGCCGGCGGCGTGGTGGGCCCCGACCCCCGCGGGGAAATCAAGGTCATCGTGTGCAACGCCTCTCCGCGGACCCACGTGGTCGAGCAGGGCCATTGCATCGC